TCACGAAGAAAATGCCCCACGTGGCAACAAATGAAAGATTTCCTAACTACAGAAAGGGTAGACAAAAAATAGTCAGAACAAGAAGCGTTCAACACGACTTAAATATAAGCTTCCATAGAGCCCAAGCTAGTAGCAAAAACAATTTAAATAGAAGCTTCTTCAAAAATCAAACGTTCACATCCGAACAGTACAAACAAACGTCATGCGAACTATGTACATGGGGTATAAGCTCAAATTTTGCGAGAAATTCAAAAAAATTTATATTACCGATCGAAACAATTTTGTAAGAACAAAAAGTCTTTGTACAAACTGTTTGTCACATGCGCATTCACTCATAGATTGCGCTTACTGTCATAAACGACATCATTCTATGCTTCATATAAATAATTTTTCCAGTCCACCCATAAACAGCGCATATCTGAAAAGAACCAGGGTTTAGTTGCAACAGCCAATCCCGAAGTGCGAAATCCTGAAAACTGCCAAGAAGAACCATGCTGCTCAAATGCATTAAAAACTCAAACGCTACACAGCGAAAACCAAAGTCGGGTACTACTACACAGCAGTCGTCTCCATCGAAAACCGAGGATAACTGCTTTAACTTAGGGCCTTAGTAGACCAAGGTTCACAACGAACTTTCATAGTGCTAGGGTATAAAATAGGCTACAACTGCCAATAACCAGCCAATTATAAAATCACGGGAATGGTCGGAAGAGTAGTCCAAAACTCAAACAACATCTGCGCCATTACGGTACCTTTCCTCAAAGTGGATAAGCGCATTCAAGCAGAAGCTATTGTCTTATCGCAACTAACAAATATGCTTCCAAGCTATTCATAAATAGCAAGCATTGGCAAGAGGTTTTACACCTAAAGCTAGCAGATCCCAACTGCAACACTCCCGCTTAAATAGATCTTCTATTAAGCAGCGATCTCATACCACAGATAATACTCGGAGGCATTGAAAAAATGTCAAACACACTATTGGCACAAAATAGTACTTTCGGTTGAATACTAAGTAAACTAGTTATGGAACCAGTTACCATCACGGCAACTCAAGTTGAGAAAATCTCAAACGAATACCTCAATTCCCAATTGAGAAAAACCATAGGGTCTCCGTTGAAACAGATAACGGCGAACCCCCCTAATATTTTTAAAAATATAAGAAATTTGTTTGATACTAATTTTCATAAATTCGAAAAGGAAAGTACAACAAAAACTCTGGAGATCCAATGGAGTGCGATATCTCACCAGTTTTGATACACTACAGAGTCAATATCTGCATTATCCGCCACAACAAAGCGACATATTCTATCCTCTGTGGAAAAACTTTTCGACCCCGTAGGATGGCCAATTATGATACAAGCTAAAATCCTAATACAAGAATTACGGCTACACTGGGACGAACAAGTAAAACCACTTCGTTTAGAAAAGTGGTCCCAGTTCGCGAACAATCTAAATGATATCTCACAGATACAAATTCCAAGATGGTTAAACTATGCCCCAGATCACAATGTCGAACTACACGTCTTCTGTGATGCCTCTGAAAAGGCATATTAGGCGCCACTATATACGTTCGCACACAAAGCGACACTGCGACCACAAGCCACTTAGTGGCAAAAGCAAAAGTGGTCACTTTAAAAACAATAAGTCTACCACGACTTGAACTGTGTGGAGCGCTACCACAGCCTAACTAGTATCCATGGTGCGAATGCATTTAAACATGGCAAAATAAAAATTTTATCTGTAGTCCGATTTTCAAATTGTACTAGCCTGGTTAGAAAAGCCACCTCATGCATGGAAGAGGTATATTTCCAATCGAACGTCTCAAATACTTTACCTAGTAGGATCAGCCACTTGGCGACATGTAGCCAGTGCTGACAATCCTGCTAATCTAGGTACAAGAGGCTGCAACCCACTGCACCTTGCCACCACCACTCTCTGGTGGAATGGCCCCTATGGTTAACAAAATCTCCCAATTCTTGGCCACAATCGCCTATGCGCAATATAACTGCCCCAGAAAGTCGAAAAATCTACTCTTTTCACACAACAGTGGAGGATACTGACATCCTTGAGCGATTTTCATTGTACCTCTCAGGGTAATCCCTTACATGCTCAAGTTCATAGGGCGACTCAAAATTAAAGTTAAGGGAGTAACCTCAGTATACCCGCAATGCGATATAGTGACGCACCTAGACTTACAAAAAGCAAAAGTCGCTCTTATCGCATCTACTCAAGCGCGTTACTTCAGCCGAGAAATATCATTACTAGGAGAATCGAAGCCGATTGATAAAAAGAGCTCACTTTTAGTACTAAATCCATTCATAGACACGAAAGGTCTGCTTCGGGTGAATGGTCGGCTTGCCAATTCAAGCTTTGCGTTTAACGAACGCCATCCCATAATTATACCAGAGCAGTCTCGACTTTCCACCTTACTCCTAAGTTATATCCACATATTCATGCTTCATGCCGAACATCGCCTCATGCAACATATAGTCCGCAAGGAATTTTATTTTCCCCGACTGAAGCCCCAAATAAAGAAGTGCATCTACATGTCCAAAATCTTTACTACGCACAAGCAAAAGATGCGAACACAGATTATGGCAGCACCTCCACCGGAACGCTGCAACTTCGCTCTGCCTTTCTCCATAACAGGTGTCGATTTTGCTGGGCCTTTTCAGATAAAGGCGTCCATGTTAAGGTCTCCCACTCTAATGAAAGGTTATGTGACTATTTTTGTCTGTTTTACGACAAAAGCAGTACACCTTGAGCTTTGTACTAATCTGAAAAAGGAGGTTTTCCTTGCGGCATTTGCTCGCTTCGTCGGATTATCAAACAAGTCTCACCTGAGATTGTACAAAAGGCCCCAAGGCATTAATTGGCAATGTATCCCCCAAGCGCTCTTCATATGGGTGATTTATGGGAATCAGCTGTAAAAAGCTTCAAATCCCATTTAAAAACAAGTAGTTGGAAACTAAAAATTTAATTATGAAGAATTTACAATATTACTAATTCGCATTGAAGCCAGTCCTAACTCCAGGACGTGGAATCGCTATCCCTACTAAAAATCTGGGAAAGAAAAAAAATTTGCGATTCCTGTTTGGAAACATGGATCCCTGGGCCATGATTCTGCGTATGCAGACTGCTCCCTACTAAAAATCTGGGAAAGAAAAAAAATTGCGATTCCTGTTTGGAAACATGGATCCCTGGGCCATGATTCTGCGTATGCAGACTGCTGTGCAGTCCACTAGCAGGTGTTCTGGGGTTTCCGGTTCCATGTCACAGAACCGGCAGTTTGCAGCCGCTACTCAAGGTTCTGGTCCTACCATTTTTGTGGAAGCTGCAGAGCGGGCCAAATCGTCAGCCAGTTCTTTCCCGGCTATACCCCTGTGATCAGGCACCAAAATATGGTGCACTCTGTTCAGGCATTCTATGCACTTCTGCACTAGTAGCGATGTGACCTCACAAGCAGAAATTGCTTTTAGTGCCGCCTGACTATCGCTGAGTATGGCAATACTCTTATTGCGTTAGTTGCGTTGGAGGTTTATCTCTACACACAGACTTATAGCATAGACTACCGCGTGGAAATTGCTACGAAAACTTCAAATGAAAATGGAGAGTTTGGTGCGTGATTCTGCGACCCATGCACCCATCTTCTCCGACGTTTTCAAGCCGTCGGTGTTGTGATGTCTGACACACTTGGTTGTGCTACACCAAATTCCAAGCTCTCACTATTTCCACTTACGAATACTTCCATTGCCAGAAGTGATAAAGTGCAATGACTGGAAGGATACCACCAGTTCCAGAGATGCTTACTTTGTTCCGCCGCATTTTTGCCATCAAATGTGTTTTGTAATCAGACTAAACCTTAAAAAAATTAACTATTGTAATAAGTGATTGAAATATAACTTTTAAATTAATTTTTTTTACCTTTTACCATTCGTTACCTTCGCGATGGTGGTCCTGCAGCATTTAGGTTTCATGCCAATTGTTTCCACAAATTATTTATTATTAGCAGTGTTTTCTGCGTCAACAGTTTTTAGGTGTCCTTTGGAAAGTTCTGAGTGCGGTTTAATACAATTAACTTAAATTTCGAACTGCGTTGGGTTTGTCTGTTTATTTTTAGAATATTCCCTAATAAAATAAGTTAAAAATAAGCGTTATGAAGGATTATCGCAAAATCGAACATTTTCGCTTGCGCAGCACCTTACAGAATAACCCCCTAGGTCATCATCGCAAGAGGATATTCTCTTATTATAGTCTGCTACAGTTTTATTGCAAATAAATAAAGTAAGAGGGAGAAGCGAGTAGATGTAAGTTGGGTACCAAAACACAAGAAATTTACACATGAAAATCTTTTAGACGAATTGAAATTATTAAGCGAAAGTCATAACTTTTGGCGAAAGGATTCAGAAACCTAATGATCTTAAATTATACATTTACATTAAGATCTTTTAATCAACTACAAAACTATAATTTTTACTTAACATATATATATAAATACATTTACATTAATATCTTTTAACCAACTACAACAATATTATTTTTACTTAAATAACGTACTTGCTACATATGTATACAGCGGTTGTTTGAAGTTCGTTTATTCCTGAATGTATGTCTGTACTGTATTTATAAATGGTCAATACCCCAGTTCGGGAGTTGGGTAAATTTCTGACATTCCGATGCACCACGAAAAACGTCAAAATTTCACTTCCATCTGTCAGAATTTTAACTTTTCCACCGTTTGGCATACAACCTAAGTCACAAACTATTGTATCAAATTTGTTACCTAAGCAGGCACCGATTGTCGGTTTATATATTTTGTAAGCAACTCGTACATACTAAAAAAATATTTATTTCAAGTAAATTTCGAAACTATTGTATTTCAAAGATAACATTTTATTTTTATTTTTATTGGTAATTATGTATTTTGACTGCGTTATAGAATTTTTTATATTTGTTATCGACATCAATATCGTTTATTTTTATTCAGATTTTATATACATCTCTAAATAACATTGTAATTGTAACAGTTGTTAGATCTGTTCATTTTCAATTGAACGATTTTTGCGACTGTCACGTATTGAATTTCAAAATCATCTCAAGTCACAAAAATTTTCTCTAATTTAAAATCTCAAATTTAGAGACCTGTGACTGTATCAAAGTACTGAAATTATATTATAGCAGACTATTTTGTAAACAACTGCTCACAGAATAACAGTATATACAAAAAATTTCAGTTATTTAAATAATATTTCCTATGATTTAAAGCAGTACACATTTATTTTGCAGAGGAGCATAGACTTATGGCGGCTAGTGTCTGAGTTAAAGAAACAACCAAAACGGCTCATGCTACAACTCTTTTTCAGATCTATCATTGTTGCTTATCGAAATAATGATTTATTTTGAAAAAATACAGCAAAAAAATGTGAACAAAAAAATTAAATTAAAGCAATGCGTCTAAATTCATCTGGAGATCGACTTCCCAAATCAAAAAATGGGTCATTATTTCTATTAAATGGAAAATATTTAAAACAAGACGACTTTTAAGGCAAATTACGACATTAAAATTTCATTTCTTACACCACTACATAGTCGAAACTAAGTTTTTGTTTTTAAATAGAAAACTCTGTTGTAAGAGTAGCAACATTCATCATTCAAAATTTTGGAATGCGAAAGAATGAAACGCACATAACTTTACCATTTTCCATCAACAATGGTCGGCGTTTTTGGATAAAAATTTTGAAGTAAACGCGTGTTAAAATTTATATTATATTATTTTATTTTGCTTTATTGATTAAAAAGAAGTTTATAAAGAAGGTAAGTTCTTGAATTTTACTAATGTTTTTTCTAAAAAATGTATTAAATATAAGTGAATAGGATAGAGGAAAACTCTCAATGCGCTTCCCGAGCTGGAAATCGAGGATATTTGGTGATTCCAAGGTAGGTTGCCTTATTTTGTGCTTTAAGGTAGGAAAGATCAATTACTTACATGTCTCTTGCCTTGTATAGGTTGTATCGCCTTGCTATTTGGAGCGCATAATGCAGCACTCCACTCTTTGCACGAAGTATGTAGCGGAGGAATTCCGTCTGCCAGCCGAGGCGTTTGAATTGTCTATTGGTAATATTGAAACGCGTTTTCAGCAGGCATTGGGTAACCGAAAGCGCAATTGTGGATCTGGTCGCGCAGAGTTTGGGTGAACGTGCTACACAGGTAATCATGGCTGCTCAATGCTCAAATGAACTACTTATTCAGGACTCAACACTTTTCATTTTGCTGAAGTGTTGTCAAATAACGCAACATTGAGTGTGCCTACTATGAGGTGAGGATCAAGAATTCATAAATGTCTACTACGAGAACTCCGATTTCAATTTAACACGCATTTCGCCTTGGTTGCTGCATATCGAATTGAAATATTCCTAGTGTTGGGCATATATACTGTGTGCAAATCGGTTGAGAAAGAAATTAATGCTGTGCTGAAAATCTTTGGCTTGTACGTAAATTATCGTCCTTTGGCCTTGTGTGAGGGAATCACAGCTTACTGAATATAAGTAATTAAATTATATAACTATTCTAGATATTATATATAATTTAGGTCATATATCGGCATTATATTAATTTATAAGAATGAATATTTTAATCAAAACTGGCCAAAATTATATATTTCTATGTTGAATATGTATATACAATTATTTTAATTATTGGAATTTTTATTAAAAATCGTTTTTTCTTGTTCATTTTAGCACAAAATTGAAATGTAAATATTTCTTCATATTAACCTTATATCTTTTGTTTGGTGAAAATGTCATCAGCTGAGAATTTAACATTTTTTTTGGTTACCTTAACATATGTAACTCATGTTAATCATTTATTTGTTTACCAAAACAATGTTAAATTAACTAAACAAAATGTTACGGGAAGTGAACAATGTTAAAATTTCAGTACAATTTTTAATGTTTCTTAACGTGTAGCCAAGGCATATCTATATTAAGTACCATGATAAATCTTGTAGTTCCCAACTTTTTATGAACTGTGTACAAACTTTCATGTATTTGTTTTTAAAATATAATGTTGTAACTTAACTCTAACTAATACAACAGAAAATAAATTTTAATTTTTTTATACATTTTAGATATTTTCAAATTTCGATAAAAAGTTCTCAAGCTAGATTTCAATATCATAATTTTAGTTATTAAATTATAAAATTGTAGGACACTATTAATTACAAATGTATTAGTGTTTAATGAGGGGAATTGTATGTACCCAATGTGCGAATATTAACAATTAGTAAATTAACCTAACTATTATTCTAAACTATAAAAATTTAATAATCAATATTAACTATCGATAAACAATATATTATATAAGGTAACAATCTGTCGGGCCTTATATAGTACATCTTTAATACAACTTCGCCTCTAAAACATTCTGGCAACTACGAATTCGCTGTCAAGTTGCTTCTGGCAATATATCGTCGGTTCGATTTTGTTCTATCATCCATGTTCGTCACAATATATATTATATATGCAGATGATAATAATTGAAAGCTAAATTTTAATAATTACTAAAATTTGTAAAAATAGAAAGGAAAAATAGAACCATAATGTATAAACATGTAAGTTAAAAAAAAAAAATTATATAAGTAAAAACCAATTATATATATATATAAATATAAGGAAAAGGTACGATACGTTAGGCAGTGGTAACCTATTAATAACCAAACAAATAACCCATAGAAGCTGACGAGGTAACCGGTCAACCAGTTTTCTGTAATCAATGCTAACCAAACAGTAAAATATATGTAGCATTTGCACAAAAGCCATGAGAGAGTGCAATCTCACCAACGTGCAGTGAAAGTGGAAAAATAGTTACTTATTTTTAATGTGAAAAACAGCTGTTTTAAAAATTTCCAACGGCAGTGAGGACAGCCTAGATTAATGAATAGGTTAATAGAGCAATTCAGTAAGCAGTCTCTAGTCACTATATGAGCCAATTTGAAGTAAATTCTCAATTTGTGAAAATTACTGTTCAGTATCTAGCCTCGAAATATTTCCTTAAAATTGTCAGCTAATTAGAGCTACAAAACTATCAATAGTGACACTTTTCGATAGTTTCGACAGTTTAAAAAAATACTATCGAAAGTTTTTCCTTTGAAATCTACTTACTTTTCGCTGGTTTAAATTAGGAGACCATGACTTTGTACATTTTTGTGAAATAATATTTGGTTTTATTTGTAAAACAAAACCTGAATAATAATAGAAAACACAAATAAATTAATTAAGTTACATATGTATGTATTTAATTCTTCATGTTTCTATATAAACTGCTCTGAGAGCTGACGAGTTATAAACATCTACATTTTTATACATTTACTACTGCATTATAAGATCAGGAAATTTATACCTAAGCAAGTAAGGAAGTTCTAAGTTCGGGTGTAACCGAACTATTATCGAGAGTGTCATATATTTATTTTATTATATGAATTTCAATTATATATCCTACACATTGGCCGATATTTTCGGTAAAAAGTCAACTATAGGCACTGGGGTCCACATATTCAATACCTATTGGTTTTAGTCGTTGGTCGTGGCAAAGTTTTACCCCGATACGATCATTGTTGCTTGATTTACATAGTAAAAAGTGAAAGAATCAAATGGAATTTAAAAGGTTGTTATATGGAAAATAGGCGTGGTTGTAATCCGATTTCGCCCATTTTCACTATAACATAGAAATATGTTATGTACCGAATTGGGTTGCAATCGGTTAAGCAGATCCCAAGATATAGGTTTTCACCTAAAAGTGGGCGGTGCCACGCCTACTGTCTACCTTTGAACGCAGTTCCTAAAAAGTCATCTCATACCATCCATTCATTTTTAACAGTACCGTTATATGGGGAGTGGTCGGGTTGTCACGGTCCAACCGTCATATCACGGTCATTCACACTGTCGATAGAGGTACTAAAAATATATGTATATTATTTAAAAAAATTTCTGTACTTACGAATTTCAAACCACATGCTCACTGGACGAGGAAGTTGCAGACTTGTAGTTAATTTTACATGCTTCTAAACATGACGGAAGGTGTGTATTGTTTAATTACAATGAACATAACAATATTATTAATTTTTTTCCAATAGAAACGCTAACAGAAACGAAATTTGACACACTTGAGGAATACGGAGGATCCATTTTTATTAGAGAAATCAATGTTTAGGAGATATTTGCGCTTTCACAAATAATTGTGTTGGGAGTGTATACAAGATTTGAAGCCCCACTATAATCGTTTCCGGAGGTCAGCTTCTCATTTTGAGATGCGGATGAGTCTTCATGCTTATAAATGAAGATTTTTTACTAACTATTTATAGTTCGTTTCAGTGCTATATTTTTTTTCATAAGGCCCATACCAATACTACATTGGAAATAGCCATTTATCTGCCATGAGCCAGTCTTGCATATCCAGAAGTATAAGATACTCGTATGTTAACTTTTGACGGAACCTAAAAATGTGGAAATAAGCTTCCCAAATGCAACAAAGCATTAATGCCATCAGAAGAGAGTAAAGTATAAATGTATATAAAAACATAACTACATTTCTAGTTTCCATAATAAATTTGGCATTAAAGGAGTGATTGGTGCTATTTTTTTTATGCCTTTGTTGTTTTTTAGGTCGTAAGGAGGGTTTAAAATGGCTTCGCACCATATAGGGATCGTCATCCTACGTGAGTGGTGTACCCACTAAAACACTCCCCCCTTCCATCATAGATTTTTTTTTCCTTGGCCCGGGACCGCTTTCGCATTACTTCAGAGCAAGGTTTCCAAGGTGGACCCATAGCGGGTCAGTTTCTATTCTCCCTGCGTCCAGGGATGCCTACTGATTTGTAACTAGCATAGGCTGACTATTTTCTATTGAGTGGAATTGGTCGGAGGGTCCGCGCCTATGTCCCTTTTCATCTCCGTAAATACATGCAGGGCTCTCGGCTTTACCAATGTTATACAGGTATTTTCGAAAATATCCGTGGCCGGAGAGCATCTGTGTTAGGTAGGTGTTCACCTCGCCGTGTTCTCTACTGTGTCATGTCTCTATATCTTTCATCAATTTGGCGGTCCATCTCCCTTTGCGCTCCCTTGTCTACCGATCTTGCCAAAATTCGATTATTTGCTTCCTTGCTTGTTGTCTTGTTTACATGTGTATTTCAGTTCCATTTTTCTTCCATAACCAGAGTTGTCTTCTCTCCTTTGCGAGTAAATCTATTGGGATTACGCAGCTTATCACTAGCACTACGGATTCGGATACAGTGCGGTAAGACGAGGCGACTCTCAGGGCTGCTGTTCTCTGCACCTTAGAAACTACTTTTCGTCTATGTTTCACATCTAATGTATCGGCCCACAGTTCACTACCATATAATAGCACTGACTGTGTTGTGTCCATGAGTAGTTTCCTTCTGCTTTCAAGCGGACCTCCGATGTTTGCCATAAGTCTTGAAAGTGACATGGTTATATTGGCTGACTTTTTAGCAGCGTGCTGAATTTGAGCCCAGTACGTCAGTTTGTTGTCCATTCTTATACCTAGGTATTTTAGGGTTTTCGTCGTTTGTATGGTTTCTGAATGAACTTTCATATTCACCTCCAACGGGATATGTTTCCTAGTGAGCAGGATCAGCTCGGTTTTTTCTGCGGCTAGGCTAAGGCCGTGTGAGTCCAACCATGTCTGTGTTCGTAGCATGAATTGCGTAAGTTTGTGCCTGGCTATGCGGGTATTACGAGCTGGTGATTGGTGCTATTGACTGCACTCATATTGCAATAATTGCACCGTCTCGTCGGCTAATGTTATACCACACGAATACATGAACATAAAGGGCTACTACAGTATTAACGTTAAGGAGCTATATTAAAATATTAGTTTGATATAAGTAATATTTTTATAAATTTCAGATTTATGATGAGAAACTTAGTTTTATTGTTAATTCTAATGCAAATTAATTTTTTAATTCTTAATTACATATATGCTTAAGATTGACATTTGGAAATATTTTAGGAATGTCTTCCTAAATTTTGCATCTTCATCGCACCCATCATTTTTGCAAATACTTCTGGCAATTTCGGTCACGTAAAGTTGATGAAAAGAAAACATTGTTAGATTTTATTTACTTATATAAAAGGATATTTTTATATACAAAGAGTTCTTATTTATTACGTATACATAAGTATAAACATATACGCAAACAATTTATTAAATTATACCCTCTACTTCCATTGCCCGCTCTTCCAACTCGGACGATTCAGTATGCTGCATGGGCCCCCCACGTGTCAGGATTTTCTAGCGCTCGACCGTATTTAGTTTTTCCAGTGGTTTAAATATTGTAATTATTTATTTGGTTTCTAATGCCAAATGAAGACGAGCTATACACTATTGTTTTACCTCTGGTGGAGGACTCAAATTGATAGACACGTCATTGATTTTTTGAAGATTATCTGGATGGTCCATCCATTGAGTTCAATTTTTGATGATTTGTTCGAGCATTTCGACTGGTAACTGGCACATGACACGCGTGATGTTTTGCTCCAACGCCTGAATTGAAGCGGGATTGTCCGCATAGACTTAAGACTTTACATATCCCCACCGGAAAGTGTCTAACGATGTGATATCACACGATCTTGGTGGCCAATCGACCGGCCCCATACGTTCAATTATCTGCTCACCGAAGAGTTCTCTTAATAAATCCATTGATTGATGCGATGTGTGAGAAGTGGCGCCGTCTTGTTAAATCTAAATGTCGCCGAGATCACGAGGTTAAGTTTCACATCAAATAGTCGGTTATCATGGCGCAATAGCGGTCACCATTGACGGATACGGTCTCACCGGCATCACCATCATCATCAAACTACACCAAACCGTTGTTTTTTCTGGATGAAATGACAGCACTTGAATCTCTTTAGCAATGTTGCTTGTTTACATACCCATAGAGCCAGAAATGGGCCTCATTGCTGAATGAAATTTGGCTAGAAAACGTCGGATCTTCTTGCAACTGTTCAAGACCTTATAGAGCTAGGACGAGCGGCTTCAGTTCTACCAAAATTAGAATAATCTGAGTAATCTTCTGTTGTCATGCCTCCATCGTTGGAGA